CCTAAATCCTAAACCTAAAACCCTAGATCCTAAACCCTAAAACCCTAAATCCTAAACCCTAAAACCCCATGTACTACCCAAGTGGCCTGATATGGGATGAAGCCAGGCCCCAGCCGCGTCCGTTCCACCACCACACACCTGGCACTCCACGCGAGCTCGTCTTGCCAATTCTAGGGTTTAGGGTTTAAGGTTTAGGGTTTAGGGTTTAAGGTTCAGGGTTTAGGATTTGAGGTTTAGGGTTTAGGGTTGCGGGTTTAGGATTTAAGGTTTAAGGTTTTCAGGTTTAGGGTTTAGGGATGTTATCCCAAAAATGGAAAATCAAATGGACAAGAAAATCGAAAATGAAATGGAAACTGTGGTTTTACCGGCTGGATACAAAACTACCCCAAACCTTGGGAATCATGGTTCTCCACGTATATGGGGATCAAGGATATTATCATCCCAATCCTGGAGAATCAAACGGAACCTGAAATGGCAACGGGGATGATATTTGGCTTTAGGGTTTAGGGAAGAAACGGAAAAGAACGCGGAATCCAATTGAACCCTAAACCGTCCTAAACCATGGCCTAGGGAATGGAAAAGAAGACGGAAACCACAATATTCGGGTGCATATACAGGGGCTGCTACGGGCTCAATTCGGGTTTAGCGTTTAGGATTTTATTTTGTCAAAAATGGAAACGGTGATTGGGGGTTCAAAGGGTTTGCCCTGGATTTCCCCATGCTTAAACGGAGATTGGGTCTGGACATAGTACTGCTGCAGAGGATTGTATGGAGATGATTCTAGGAATCGACTCATCGACTTCCATGCCCTTGCTTGAAGAACTTGCGTAATAATAATAATAATCATCCCCATCATCATCATTCTAATAGTAGTAATGCAGTGGCGATGACAGTAATAATAGCAATACACCTTGCACTTCAACAAGCTTTTGGCGTACAGAATGCTCGTGCTCAGAGTCCTGTTCCTAGCATCTTAAAGAAATTGCTGTTTTCAAACTCCCGGAACGGAATCTAATGAGCGACTGCAACAAATTCCAGGTATGGAGACCCATCTGACACAACTTTCACAAAATCTCCTGCCTGGTGTTGCCCTCCTTGAGTTCGCCAAGGGTGCATTCGATCTGCAAACAAGCTGCAGTGGAAAGTAACCAACGAAATCGCTCAAAGTAAGGATTCTCTTGTTCGCGTATACTTAGGGGACTTTTCAGTAACATTCTCCTGGCCTCCATCTCGATCGTAGGCTCCTGCAGGGGAAGCAAAGGAAGCATTTGACGTACACCCGCAGAACGGAGGGATCTGTGAATTTTGCACATAACGCTGTGAGCGTGGAATGTGCTTGTTGGACCAGAAAGTAGTGCGGATGGACCCTGGAACACGTTTCCCGTCGGAAAGCTTGCTTGTTGCGCGGCAGTGACGCTCCTTTGGCATGGAAGGGAGCACAGGCAGGTCTTCCAATTCCGGCTCGTACCTGTCAAGACTTTGGCTCACTCACACGCTAGCTACTAGCACTTCTGGCTCATCTTGCGCACGCTACGCTCAAAGGGTCCGCTGAGGAAAAGAACTGGTTGAAGAGCTCGAAAGGATCCCCCACATACCTGCTTCGGCAGGTTTGAAATGCTCACCACGTAAGGCAAAAAAGATCGGCGAGTCAAAACAAAGAGGAGCACTGGTAAGGCTCAAAATCAGTGCCGTGAGGCGGATTCCTTGAGCAATTGCGATCACAGCGCTGTCAAGCTCAAGGATTTTTGCCGCAGGCAGCTTGCAGGCAAGGGTCTTCAGGCCTACCTCTCCATGGGCATCGAACCTGGGCCAAACAGGCTGCTTGGTATGCAGACCATGACTGAACATGAAGCTCAAGAATAGTTCACACTGAGACTGCAGCTGCTGCCGTCTGAGTGGATCTATGAGCACCTGGGCGCAAACCCCACATATCCGAGTCAAACCATCGCTTGAGCAGCTGCAGCCCACGGCACATCGTATGCTTCGGCAATGTCCCGAAATCGTGACTGTGCCTCTACCTGTCAGGCAGTCCAACCTAGAATCACTATACTGGTTAACTGAGGATATTTTCTGCAGGGCGTTTATAGGGATAATGGAAATGGAACAACTATATCATAAAAGGGTATAGCAGCATTCAGCAGCCTGCCTTCGCGCTCGGGTTTTTCTGCGGGTGCCACTTCGCTGCGGCCTGAGATTTCACGCAAGTGCTCGACTTCGCGAAGGGGCATGGCTTGGCATAGCTGTGGGAGACTGACATGGATGCGAAGCTACTTTTTAAGCATCATATGGCATCATCTCAGATTTTACAGTGAAGATATAGAGCTTGTGTTCGGGCTCTATGAGACGTACGAGGACACCGCATTCTCTCATGCGGCTTGGAGCAACTTGGTGTCCCCGCCCACTGATATCCCGAACGAATCTGCCGGGTTGTCGCTGATCTGGGGATGTTCAGCAAAGCATAGTAGTCACGCCTTGGACCGCCAAAAAAACTTGTTCGGCAAGTGGCCACTTAATACTAATACCAAGGACCTGTAACTTTGCACTGACAGCAAGTACCTACTACTCACTTTGATGATTGATTATTAGGGTTCAGTATAAGGGCAGGGGATTACATGATCTGGCTACTTTATACTGATTTCAAAACCGGAAAATGAATTTGGGACTGTTAACTACTACAAAAATCCACCACAACGGTGGGGTCGAAAAAGTTTGCCCAGCTCATGGTGTCTGGAACATACCGGACAATGGTGGGCTGCTGTTGAGGAACTCGTTTTCCTGAAATAAAGAAACCGTATCATGTACTGTATACCCATATTACGGTAGATTGATTTGAGTTCCTAAACAGCAACCCAGAACGCTCTTGGCCCAAGGTCCATGCGCCATCCGCCCAGCAGCTGCGTGAGCCTTGAGCAAAGGCGAAAATGGCTTCCCCGTAACATTCAACACACCCAGGAAGCAGGGCTTAGGGTTTACGTGGGTTTTGGGGCAAGGTTTATAGGAATAAGCGAGCATCAGCTGTAAACGAAAATGGAAATCCAATGGAAACTGGCATGATATGCAGGTGTATTGCGAAACGCCAGTGTTATCTATCATCGTAATGATTAGGGGCAATAGGATATTGCCTGGTGATGACCGTGGTTTTTACCCGCCTAGAACACACCTTACCCCCTAACATTTATTTCGTGCGGTCCCCAGACTTGTTGGGCCATTACGAGCAACATTGAATGCTAAAGAGCGGATGCGGGCTTTGTATACCTAGTCTACTGCGGCCCCCACTACTTCGTCCAGTGTAGAATCCTGATGGATGTGGAGCGCTCGATTGTGAAGTTCTGTCCGGAGACCAATCAGTCAGCACTCCCTTAACTCAACTATACGAAGCTTGATTTTGGCGGAGGGCATGGGATTTCGAATCAAGATTCCAGAACTAGTGGATCCTTTTTGGCACTCTCCATACTCAAGGTTATAATTTTAATGGTATTTGAAAACATGTTGGTCTACACCTTGGGGCATCCCTTTCTTTTGGTAGACTCCCATCTTATACACAAGTAGGCTTGTAGCACCTTTGGAAGCAACACCCAGAGCCCTCCAGAAAAGATTTGCCTAAATACCAGAGTAACAGAGGGTCATAGAGGGTATAGAGAGCTATATAGAGATGTGTAGCCCAATAAGGAGACTCAAATACAAACTAAAATGGAAACTGGGAGGACATGTGGGTTTACAAGGATTCAAGGTTTCGGGGGATTAGGGGTCCGTTCTTGTCCCTTTCATGGGGCTTAGAAGATGTTGGTGGGATTTAGGGTTTAGGGCTTAGGGTTTAGGGTTTAGGATTTAGGGTTTAGGGTTTAGGGTTTAGGGCCCCAGTCTGAGGGACTCAATGTGGCTCCGAAGGTCTCCTCACATATGGGAAAACCTGCGGGAGGTTCCTTGACAAGAGGCCCACAACCACAGACAAAAACTCCATGAGGGCAAATATGGTAGTTTCCCTAAATGAGGGGACCCCAATGTAGACCCCAATATACTATAGCCCTTATTATTGGGACCCCCAAAAAAGGTACCCCCTAATTTTGGAAAACCCCCATATCTCGCGAACCCCTTCGCATGGATGCCCCCACAACTTTCCAGCACCCTCATTATCAGCAGCTGAGCCCGCGGCGACAAGCAAGTTCAACACTCGGTCCAAGCCGCTGAGCCAAAGACGCGGCAGGCTTCGGGTTTAAAGTAATCACTTCCCCCTAAGATTAAAGCCCCCCTAAGAATGATTAGGGGGAGCCCTTTAATGTTAGGGGTAAAGGATTGTGGAGTTTGGGCTAGGTTCTTAGGGCATAGAATTCAAAGCGAGCGGTTGAGGCCTGAATCTTCATGGATGCAACACATCACAACTCCATGCAGCAAAATCTCACTAGTTCATAGTAGGTTGAATATATAGTATAGGAACTATATAGGCAGTATATTCCCCAATTCCCTACTAAGAATCAGTAAGAAATGCGAGCTTATGAGAAAGTCCTCCATCTTGCAGCTGGCACGGATTTCACGGGCCATCTCCTCAATCTCCTCCTTCGAGTAGGTTGTATCGTACAGGAGCACAGTCGCTTTGCGTGCAGCAACTTAAGTGCAGACCCGAACCTACCTTCAACTGCCGTTTTGTGAAATCGATTCCGCACGAGACTTCGCGAGACACATCTTTCTCTCTGGATTCGCTTGTGGAATCCGGTTCAGGCTTGGGAGATCAACACTGCAAAGCTCGGCTGCTTGGGTTGGGTGCAACATTGCAATGAACACCCCAAGAAGGAATCCCTCTTTTCTGGAACCTGCATGTCTACATACAAATTTACGTACACATGACATAATTATACATATACGGCTTTATCAATGGTAGTTGTCGCTTCGTGTTCCGTTCTATGGGAGCAGACTCACGCATCACTCTTCGAATCCGCTTCGTGGGGCGGGTCCTGGAGTGACAGGTATACATGGGACTGTCTGTAAATCGAGCTTAGCGCTTATGCCTTGCAGTTTAGGGTTTATTCTTCTATTTTGTAAATTACTCATGAAACACGCATGTCATCATGACCTAGCAGAATATCAGCGAATCAACGCCAGCCTGACAGGGTCAGGCATTCAGTGACCAAACGTCACATATGCTTCAGACATGCGCACCATGATATGCTGTCGCCTTAAAACTGAAATTGGGATGGATACTTTGGCCAAAATGTGAAAGAAGCGCTGAGGAAAGTAGATCACTATGGTGGCGCTACCTCCCATCACTCTGGAATGCGCAACATTGGTGCAGGCGCTGAGTTTGGTATCAATACACACCACCACGCACTTTACAACAGAAAGACTATTCGTCAGGAAGACGCTGATTCCAGCTCCATGCCATCAGGCATGGCATCTACCATTTTGATGCAGGCGCTGAGGCTTGGAAGAAATTTGCAAGGAGTCAAGCTTACTTCCTACGCTTCACCATGTGAGCTGCAGTTCACATTTCCCAGAGAATTAATCAGGAAATAGACTAGAGACTCTACTAAACTATCAAAAAAGGCCCCCACTGTCTACTCTTACTGGCCTCTCAGTACAGCTAATATGTGCCATGGCTCATGTAGGCGCTGATTGCCACACAGGTTGGCCCAACATGGGATCTAGATGTTTCACAATCTGGGTTGCTGTTAAGGAACTTAAATTAAGTTACTATATTGGGGAAACCCTATTATTTACTATATATATATATACAATTTATGGTAACTTAAATTAAGTTCCTTAACAGCAACCCAGCACTTGGAAATTCATGGGGCAAATGACTGCCTGGGCTTCTCTCCGCTTGAACATAGTTGCAGCATGATAAGGGTGACCGAGGCCACTAGCTTCAACCAAGGGAACTAGCTTCCAACTGCAACTCGAATTTCAACATGCACTCGCAAGCCGACATCCTCTTGAATTTACGAGAAGCTCTACCAACACTTCAGAAAAAGCTGCTAATCTAGCAGATTCTTGCCGCATAGCATATTCCTCAGCAGGTGTATCTGCTTAGAGTTTAGCGTTTAGGCTAACCGGTCTATGGACATAGGGGCTGGAGATTAGGGTCGGAGCTTGTAGACCCCAGCCAGTACCAGGCCTCAAGGTGTCACAATAACTTTAGCCAACTTGACCCTAAATCCTGAAGACGATGCCTAAATGATATAGTAGTAGTTCTACGTTCTTTTGCATTACCCCTAAACAACCCTATGTTACAGTTATGTAGGCTTTTATCAGAGAACCCTACATAATTTGAACCAACTTGACAATTGCGCCTGCTGCGCAGCGGCAGCGGCAGCTGTTGCTGCGGCTGCAGAGGCCGCCGCAGCAGAGGCCGCGCTGGTCTCGAGGAGCTGAGACAAACCTGCATGTAGGGATGGCTTTACAGGGTTCTCATAGGATTTCTGTAGGGATTATGTAGGGACTATATAAGGTTTATACAGAGTTTATACGCGGTCTATATGGGGATAATATTGCTGATTATCTAGTGGTTGTGTAGAGAAGATACTGATCAACAAGGACGGTACCCATCACGGAGAATCAAATGCAGAAGAAAATGAAAGAATAATGGAAACTGAGTTTACGTCAGGATGTATAGGTTTCCGGGCTCTTAGGGTTAATAATGGAGAAGCAAATGGAAAAGATGACAGAGAATGAAGTGGAAACTGGAACTATACCGCTAGTATTGAGCGTCAGGAGGAGGTTGGTTACTGCCATACCAGAGCAGGGACACAAACACAACACACTGGCACCCATTCGATGGGGTCGCCACATGAAGTCTGGGGGAGGAGCCCTTTCCTTCACATGGCTTTATTCCAAGCTTCTGGGCTTATCCTCGGCCCTAAACCCTAAACCCTACAGGGCTAACACTTTCGCTTTCCCCCTCCCTCTTCTGTGTAAAATCCAGGCCATGCGGTGGTTTCCGAAACGAGCAAAGCTTCCACCTCTACCCCGGATGTGGGGATCCTATATGTGGGTGGTAGTCAAAATTATGGTCCCTTTTTGGGTCCCTATTGCAATACGGCACCTCATATTTAGGGTACCCAAAAAGGGACCATAATTTTGACAATCACCCCATGTAGCAACACCCGAAACGGGTTTTGTCTCCCGCCCACAAACCATGCTAGTGCACCTTGATGTGGCAGTTTCCTGAAATAAGGAGAAGCCAATATAGTGCCCAAAATTATATTCATCCTTCTTGTAGGGACCCCAAAGAGGAACCCCTAATTTTGGGAAACTAGCATGTAACCCCTGCATACTAGTGGTTTCCATTTTCGTCTTCATTATCCCTATATAACCCTATAGTACCCTATATAACCCTACGTTCCCCTAGATTGTCACAAGGTTACCTACACCCCCTCCACCCCCAACCCCTCGAACCCCCAAGGAAGGCGCTCTGACGCGCTTCCTTCAGCTTGCTTGTCAGCACTCTCTCGCGGAGTGCCTTGGCCTCATAGTAATAGTGATAGTAAGAATCATGGAATAGTGGTAGTAATAATAGTAATAGTAATAGTGATAATAGTAATAGTAGTGATAGTAATGATAGTAGTGTAGTAACACTAGGAATAGTAGTAGTAATAACAGAAATGATACTTCCAACAGTCTCATTCGGGTTTACTTGAAAGTTCAGGGTTTTGCAGTCATGACCCAAAAAGTATAAATGTACTTGGAAGAACCCCATTGTGAACCCCTACGTATTTGGTTATACTTGGTCGAAAAATACCGAACATAATTTGGTCCAGGGCCTAAGCCAAGATAGGATCTGGAAAGGAGATGCACCAGAAGGGACACTAACTTGATGGTTCTGCTGGATTTTAAGAATATCATGACTACAAGTGCATGACTTCATCACTTTTTGGCATCATGATGCTTCTTGCCCTCATATGCCAGCATTGGCATCGCTTCAGACAGGTCGATGGGGACTATGCGCGGGCTGGCATGAGATAATGTCAGATCTGTAGAAACCTATGATCCGGGTGGTGTCTACAGGCTTTAAGTCGTCTCCTAATGGCATGCTCTCGTACTCAGCTCTCACAATCCGAAGGCCACGGTCCCAAGGCGCCGGCCAGGCGCTGGATTGGCGCCAGGATACCTGCGGCAACCTGAAGTCACAGCATGGATCAAAGTAAATGCCTAAATTACAAACAGAGGACACAGGAATTGAATACTGAGTTGTTAAACGACACTAAATGGGCATGAGAAATAGTAGAGCCACTCAGGCGCTTGCCACTCGGCTTTGATCTGGGCGTACTTCAGACAGAGCGTTGGTTTGCACCAGCGTCTTGACCCACTGGGCGCAGGGCTGAGGGCTTGAGCTTCAAGGTTTTAGCATTTTGGACCACGAGGTTTGAAGCCTCTTAATGCTTCGGGATTTCCGGGTCTACAGTAGTGGCTTGGGGTCTGAGAGCCGCGCGCCTGGCAGGTGTCTTCTTGAGTGGCGTTGCGGCACACATCTCATATGACGTACGCTTTTTGTGTGTTGTCTGGGCTAACGCTGATTGGAAGTTTGGTGAGTGTGCTATCTTTTCCAAGATTCAGGGTATGCGTTGACGATATCGTTGGTGGTCACCGTGTTATCGCTTTCCAATAAACAACCCTCCGTCACGAATCCAATGTCCATCCTTTACATATCTCCTATGACCAACAGAAAATCCCGTTTCATGAGGAAAGATCATCTGTAGTATCACCGTGCGTAGAACTGCCTCAAAGACGAGGAGGACGAGGAGGAGGAGGAGAGCACTAGGAAGAGCCATGCAAGTAACCTAAACCCTGAACCCTAAACCCTGAACCCTAAATTAAGGCCCTGAGGTCTAGCATGGTCTAGCAAATTGTCCAGGACATGCCGAGCTGCAGAGCGCTGACTCCGTGGCAGTGGCCCAACGTGGGTTTCCAGGATACCCTACAGGTAGGTGGAGGTTTGGAGGTTGATGGAGATTTCGGGGTTTCCAAAAATCAGGTTCCTTTTTTTGTTTTGGGGGTCCCTATAATAAGGATTATAGCATTTTAGGGGTCTATATTGGGTCTCCCTATTTAGGGCAAACTGCCATTTGGGATCTGTGCGAGCTGCTGGGCCGTACCAACAAATTGGATCCAAGATCCTACTGCGATTTGAAAGGCGAATTGAGCCAGTTGCACATGTGCAGTCTGAGCCTCCGCATCGGCAAGCAGGCAACCATAGACGATGGCCCGGCGCTGGAAGCCCTGGCAGGGACAGTATGTGACTATGCTCAGGACTGTGAGGAAGGGGAAGGAGAGAGGGAGGAGCAGCTGTAGGATCGCCAGAAGTAACAGCAAGCTGAGACGGCCTTCCACTCCGCTTGGTCCAACAAGACCTGTGATCAGTCCACAGGCAACAAAGGTTGCAAACAGCTCGTGAATTCACGACAATTGCCACACCATGGACAATAACAGCTTGAAGTCACAGGGACACAGCAATCCCACTTCACAGCAATTGTCTCATCAAACCTACTTGTCTTGTATGACTGCATGCCCGAAGAGATGGTGTCAGCTGCGTTCAGCAGCAACAAGAACAACAATGATGCAAA